CCGGGTCTATGTTTTTTTTATATATATTATTCACTGAGCTAATAGCAGAGTACGTTAGTTAATATAAGAAGAAACGTCTAGCTTTGAGGTCTCTCTCTCTCATTTGGATGCACGTCTTGCCGCATTATTTCTCACTAATATCCTCCTTATTTCTCACTAATACCCTAACAGAAGCAGCACATGCCCTTGATACGAATTCTAAAAGTGACGTATGTTTAACTGTCAACTTGAGCTTTGAATCTGTGGCGGAAGGAAGTAGTTATGCACAAAAGAGGGTTTTATTAGGCACTCTGTTGTTTCTTGTTTAATTACACACATGTTCAGTCGAACTGTTGTATAATCGCAATATCACAGCAGCTGTGATTGCCTCCAGCATTCGGCCTGCGGCCTCGTGCCTCTGGCCTAATCACAGCCATGCTGATATAGAGCCGGTATCGCTCGAGTATGAGAGTGATATTGCTCATTTAACTAGCAAATACCAAAATGTGTTTATACAGTCACTAAATCAGATATGAAAAATGTAAGCTAGTTAGCACTATTTCATTGACAATTTATGAGGCAAGGTATTGTGTGCTAGCTAGCTCAAGCTGTGATGCTCTTCCTTGTACATTCTGCTAGCCAGTTTTCTGTTAATCTACAGAAGTACAGTACTGGTCAAAAGTTTGGACACATTACTATTTTCCATTTCCATTTAGTCATTTAGCAGATGCTTTTATCCAAAGCGACTTACAAATGAGGACAATAGAAGCAATCAAAATCAACAAGAGAGCAATGATATGCAAGTGCTATAACAAGTCTCAGTTAGCTTAAGGCAGTACACATAGCAAGTTTTTTTTAAATTATAAAATAAATAAAAAGAAAACAGACAGAATAGAAAAAGAATAGAGCAAGCTAGTGTTAGAGGCCTTTTTTGCTTTTGTTAATTGTATAATAAATAAAAAGAAAACAAATAGATAGAATACAAAAAGATTAGAAAAGCTAGTTTTTTTTAAGAAAACAAGCAGTTAGTAAATTAATCGAGTGCAAGTTTTTTTTTAAAGAATAGAATTAGAATAGAGAGTTCTAGAGTTAGAGGGTCAAATAAAGATGGAAGAGATGTGTTTTTAGCCGATTCTTGAAGATGGTTGGATCCACTGCTTGGATTGAGTTGGGCAGGTCATTCCACCAGGAGGGAACAGTTCATTTAAAAGTCTGTGAAAGTGATTTTGTGCCTATTTGGGATGGCACAATAAAGCGACGTTCACTTGCAGAACGCAAGCTTCTAGAGGGCACATAAGTCTGAAGTAATGAATTTAAGTAAAAGGGTGCAGTGCCAGTGGTGGTTTTGTAGGCAAACATTAATGTCTTGAATTTTATGCGAGCATCTATTAGTAGCCAGTGCAAATTGATAAACAAAGGCATGACGTGCATTCTTTTCGGCTCATTAAAAATTAATCTTGCTGCCGCATTCTTGTGAGGAGTTGTGAAGCATGTTCCGAAAGAAAAGGCCTGATCTTCATGATGTTGAATAAAGCAAATCTGCAGGACCGGGCAGTTTTAGCAATGTGGTCTGAGAAAGTCAGCTGATCATCAATCATAACTCCAAGGTTTCTGGCTGTTTTTGAAGGAGTCATGGTTGATGTGACTAACTGGATGGTGAAATTGTGATGAAACGATGGGTTTGATGGAACCACAAGCAGTTCTGTCTTGGCATGGTTGAGTTGAAGGTGATGGTCCTTCATCCAGCAAGAAATGTCTGTTAGACAAGCTGAGATGCGAGCAGCTATCGTCGGATCATCAGGATGGAATTAGAGGTAGAGTTGAGTGTCATCAGCATAGCAGTGATATGAAAAGCCATGTTTCTGAATGACAGAACCTAGTGATGCCATGTAGACAGAGAAGAGAAGTGGTCCAAGAACTGAACGCCAAGGCACTCCAGTAGTTAGATATTGCGACTTGGACACCTCACCTCTCCAAGATACCTTGAAGGACCTATCTGAGGGGTGAGACTCAAACCACTGGAGTGCAGTTCCTGAGATGCCCTTTGCCATTATTTTTAATGTTTTTAAAGAAATCTCTTACGCTCATGAAGCCTGCATTTATTTGATCAAAATACAGAACAAAATAGTAACATTGTGAAGTATCATTACAATTTAAAATAATGATTTTCTGTTTTAATGTACTTTAAAATATAATGTATTTCTGAGATGCAAAGCTGAATTTTCATCAGCCATTACTCCAGTCTTCGTTGTCACATGATCCTTCAGAAATCCTTCTAATACACTGATTTATTTTCAATTTTGGAAACAGTTGTGCTGCTTAATAAATTTTTTTATAACCTGTTATACTTTTTTCAGGATTCTTTGATGAAAAAAAACGTTAAAAAAATATATTTTTTAACAGTACACAACCATTCAAAAGTTTGGGGTCAGTAATTTTTTTTAAAGAATTTAATACTTTAATTCAGCAAGGATGTGTTAAATAAATAAAAAAAGTGATAGTAAAGACTTATATTGTTAGAAAAGATTTCAATTTTGAATAAATGCTGTTCTTTTTAAGTTTTTATTGATCAAAAACTGCCTGTATTGCCTGCTCGATTCAGTGCATTCGCGAGTATTTCTGAGATATTCCTTGTTGTGAGATACTTATATGCTGTACATTGTTATTATTGAATATTAACCTTATCATTGTGTGTGCGCGTTATGCCACGGTTCTTGTTTGCATGTAGCAATCATTCAATTAGTACATGTCCAGGCATGTTACCCTGCCCTCGTACTGCATTCATGTGCGGATAGCGCCACTTGTGAACATTTAGAGTATAAGCGCCCATGGTAACTAGTGTAATATAGCATGGTTATATTTATATTGGGTGCTGTTTAGTGTTTTAATGTTTATTGTGGAACATTTGTATATTATATCATTAAGTTTATTTCTCTTGTTTAATCCATTTCAGAAAACCACATCCATGGGCCTGTGTGTCCCGTATTTCTGTCGACTGAACCCATGCCGTTAATTATGAATTTATCAGTCTTTTGCATGCCAAAGTCAATTTCTGCATAGAAATATTACGCCAAATAGAAGCAGAAAATTCATGAGAATTTCATGAGATCGGGTTAGCCTACAACAATTAATTTGTTGATTATTTTGCAAATGGGAATACAACGAATTCATGACAATTTTTACATTCAAGCTACCCGTAAAATGTATAGTGAAAAGTACTTTAAAAGCGTCTGGAATGCAATAAAGTAATTTTAAACCCGTTTTTTAAAGCATTTGCTGCATGGATAAAAAAAATATATAAATAATTAACATATACAAAATTGCGTTGCAGCAAATTCTTTAAATTTTAAGGTATTCAGAACAGGGCAACATAAAAATCAGAAAAAACAGCTATACAATTATAGGACAAAGTTTTACATATATGCCATTATAATTAGTTTTATTTTTTAACTGTACGGAATTATAAAATAAAATAAATTATAAATTGGGCCTTCCATCAATTATAGTGATGAAAAACGACTCGCCATCTCCTAGTTGGATGTGCCTTTAGAGAGAAATGCAGGGATTACATAATGAAAGAGTTTATTTTATTAGGAGTCTATTTTCGATTTGAAGTATTTCG